TTTTTCAGCAAACACGGATTTACAAAACTTGCACTGAAACATAATTTCCTTTTAGTTTTTAATAATGCTTGTACACTTTAAAATCAGTCTTTGGACTAATGAAAAATATATTTAAATATTGGCCAAATGTGTTCACATATATTTTTTTTGCCTTAACGGAAATATTAAATTGCTTTGTTAAACATTTTTTAATTTACCAGGAATTATTTTATCATACCATGGTTAACCCATTTGTTTCCCATTGTAATTGCTTGGGTATAGCAAAAATTATTATTATTGTTGTACAATTTTCATTACCTTCTTTTGAAAAATAGTATTGCAATTATTTTTAAATTTTGTTGGGCGTCGAAAGGGTTAAATTAAAAAGAATATTTGCCGAGGTGTATTCATTAATAATTATTAATTAATAATTACTTTCAAAATGCCAAAGCAAACGTTCAGTTGTGAATTTTGTTTAAATAAGTTCTTTTCCACAAAGTGGAACCAAAAAAGACATTTTATGCAGCAGCACAATTTCAACAGGAAAAAAGCGAGAAATTTTTCTCCAGAGATCAAAAACAATATTCCAGAGGAGTACGAAGAGCTAATGAAAAAAGAAGAGGATCTTCTAAATATTTTCAAGACGCCAGAGGCTAATAGGAATATTTCAGCAGCAGTTCCAGAGGAATATGAAGAACCTGATGAAAGAAGACGAGGATCTTCTTCATTTAGAATTTTCATTATAATATATTTTTAAAAATAATGTAATAAAATAAAACAAGTAAGAAATTATAGTCGGGCGAGGCCGAGCAGTTCCAGAGGAATATGAAGAACTGATGAAAGAAGACGAGGATCTTCTTCATTTAGAATTTTCATTATAATATATTTTTAAAAATAATGTAATAAAATAAAACAAGTAAGAAATTATAGTCGGGCGAGGCCGACCATATAATACCCTACACCTTTGACAAAAATATAATGCGATTTATTTGCCATAATAAAGCATTTAAATTGAATTGTACCTTGCCTCAGATATACATACTTAAGCCGTTTATTGTTGAATAAAATTGTGGACATTTAAGTGAAATTTTTTTTTTGAGGGTCATCAAATCTTGTATAGAACTTGGTTTTTGCAGCTTATTGTCGAGATATGAGTATATTAAACATAATTATGAACTTAAAAGCCCTATTCGGCGGGTTTAGTTGTATGGGGGCTAGGTGAAATAATGGACCGATGTACACCATTTTCAACAGGCTTCGTTTACCGTACCATAAAAGATCATATGCCAAATTTCATTGAATTATCTCCAAAATTGCAACCTGTAGTTTGATTACAAAGTTGAAAAGCCCTATTCGGGGGTTCAGTTGTATGGGGGCTAGGTGAAATAATGGACCGATGTTAACCATTTTCAATAGACTTTGTCTACGGTACCATAAAAGATCATATGCCAAATTTCATTGAATTATCTCCAAAATTGCGACCTGTAGTTTGATTACAAAGTTTAAAAGCGCTATTCGGGGGGTTCAGTCGTAAGGAGGCTAGGTGAAATAATGGACCGATGTTAACAATTTTCAATAGACTTTGTCTACGGTACCATAAAAGATCATGTGCCAAATTTCATTGAATTATCTCCAAAATTGCGACTTGTAGTTTGATTACAAGGTTTACAAGCCCTATTGGGGGGTTCAGTTGTATGGGGGCTAGGTGAAATAATGGAACGATCTTAACCATTTTCAATAGGTTTCGTCCCTGGGACAATAGAAGATCATGTACCAAATTTTATTGAATTATCTTCAAAATTGCAATATACCCTCCCCACAGAAGTGGTGTAGGGTACAATTATGAAAGAGTACCGGTATAAATTTAGCTGTTCTATAAAGAAGATTACAAGAGTTATGGGCTGCGCCTCTATATTTACCAGTAAAATGACAGTGGTCTCGTACTTTGTCAGTTCCTAAGTTTTTCTCACAAATATGACAATTTGTTGAGGAGTTATATAAATGTTGTTCGTCACTGAAAAGTGTTGTCATAGGTGTGTCTTTAGCTAAATAATTTGTATATATTTCTGTAGTATCGTTAATTAAATTATTAATAAATATAGTAGGAGCATCATCTCCAAAATAAAAATTATATTATCTAAACTATCGTCAAAACTACATTTAATATAATAGCTAAACGCACAAGCTATATGTTTTTGAAAATTATTAGTTTCGGAGTTTTCAATTTTCTCCAAGTAAGCTTCAAGTCAGCATATATAACAAAAGGAACATCCAACTGTTTATGATGATTTTTAAAACGTAATATATTATCATCTACATTAGGCATCTTTGTAACTACTTTCTTGCAATTATTCTCGTGATCCCTTATTATTTTTCAGTTTGAGAGTATTGAAGACATGCGTTGCAAAGGTACATATATTCGTCCCTTATGTGAAGTTATGCTCCTTCTTACTAATTTAAAATATTTATATAATAAAATTATGTTAATATATTGTATGAAAATTGTATGAGCATTATTATTATTTAAATTACCTTGAAATATCTGTTATTAATACATAGTGGAACCATTCTTCATCACTCAAAAGAAAGAGATTTACATGGTGTTCTTTCACTCCGCTTGTAAGATAATATGGCCCCAAAATGTTATTCCCTTCACAACCAAACACATAATACTAATGTTGGTGTTGTTTTTTTTCAATTTTGTTAATATCTTTTAATTTTAAAGAAAATTCCAGTCCTTCAAAATTAATTAATTGATCTTCTACTTGTATGCAGTTTTCAGCTATATTAATATTATATATTATGTTTAGCTTGTTTCTTGAAAATGAAGCAATAACGCTCCATTTAAATCAGTAATCATCATCATTTAAAATATTGAAGCAAGATTGTTTCTTCATTAACCATTGAGGTAATGGCATGTATTTTGATCCTCGTATAAAAGAAGCCATATTAATGTTTACTTCAAGCTTCTTTATCCGAATAAGTGACCATCCACTATCCCTTTCTTGAAATTCACTCATTTTGTTGATTATTTTATCATAATGTATTTTAAGAGATTCTTCAACATGGTCACTCAGTGTGAATAGAGACATTTTGGAGCGGTGGGTGATGGAGGTTAATTCTATATCTTCATCTCTTATTTTTATGTACTCGCATTGAAGCTCCATATTATACTTGAATGTAGTATAATTCTTTATAGAATTATTAATAATACATACTAACGGCGGGTTCAGTTGTATGGGGGCTAGGTGAAATAATGGACCGATGTACACCATTTTCAACAGGCTTTGTTTACGGTACCATAAAAGATCATGTGCCAAATTTCATTGAATTATCTCCAAAATTGCGACCTGTAGTTTGATTACAAAGTTTAAAAGCACTATTCGGGGGGTTCAGTCGTATGGGGGCTAGGTGAAATAATGGACCGATGTACACCATTTTCAACAGGCTTTGTTTACGGTACCATAAAAGATCATGTGCCAAATTTCATTGAATTATCTCCAAAATTGCGACCTGTAGTTTGATTACAAAGTTTAAAAGCACTATTCGGGGGGTTCAGTCGTATGGAGGCTAGGTGAAATAATAGACCGATGTTAACCATTTTCAATAGACTTTGTTTACGGTACCATAAAAGATCATGTGCCAAATTTCATTGAATTATCTCCAAATTTGCGACCTGTAGTTTGATTACAAAGTTTAAAAGCCCTATTCGGGGGTTCAGTTGTATGGGGGCTAGGTGAAATAATGGACCGATGTTAACCATTTTCAATAGGCTTCGTCTACGGTACCATAAAAGATCATGTGCCAAATTTCATTGAATTATCTCCAAAATTGCGACTTGTAGTTTGATTACAAGGTTTACAAGCCCTATTGGGGGGTTCAGTTGTATGGGGGCTAGGTGAAATAATGGAACGATCTTAACAATTTTCAATAGGTTTCGTCCCTGGGACAACAGAAGATCATGTACCAAATTTCATAGAATTATCTTCAAAATTGCGACCTGTAGTTTGATTAAAAGGTTTACATGGACGGACGGACGGACAGACAGACAGACATAGCTAAATCGACTCAGAAAATGATTCTGAGCCGATTGGTTTACTTTAAGGTGGGTATAGGACCAATATTATTGTGCGTTACAAACATCAGCACAAACCCAATATACCCTCCCCACTGAAGTGGTGTAGGGTATAAAAAGAAATAAATCCAATTTCTAATTTGATATTTAAAAAAACTGTTTTTATTTATACATTTTTAGCTATAAGTATCTTCAATTATTGCAAGCCCATTTAAAGATTGACGAACTTTGAAAATAATAGTCAAATTTGTATCATTAATCTGTGTTAAGTAGGGATCCTCCTTGTTTAAAAACTTCACAAATCTTTGCGGAAGAGAAAACCATTTATTATTGTCCAAATATGCGATAACTTTTAATCCATACTGACTTTCTTTCCACTCGATTTTTAAAACTTTGAATGGCTGGTCTAAGGGGATATCATCAATTTTTGCATAGTCCGCCTTAATACCCAGATAAATTTTAAAAAAGTACGAAACAGGTGTCTCATAGTTTTGGGAGATGTATCCAAAATATTTATAAAAATTTGATTATGTTAATTATTTCTAAAGTTATAAAGGGCCAAAAAAGGTACCAAAATCGCCGTTGTTACACATTTTTACCCCTTAAAAGTACGAATTTCAAAAAAGTGACAGACACCCATCTGCTCATTTTAAGAGTAGATACAGGTGCATTTAAAATTTTTCTTGTATCACTAATATTGTGTAAGATAATTAAAAAAAACAGTTTTACCCGTTTTTTTCCCCTTTTTACACGTAAATGTACAAATTTCCAAAAATCCCTCCTTAGTGGATCTACATAACCAAAAACACATCTACTGTAAAAATTTCATGATTCTAGGTTCAGCCGTTTGGGCTGTGCGATGATGAATCAGTCAGTCAGTAACGCTACTCTTTTATAGATATAGATAACTAACGTACACAATAATACTTTAGGTCATCAATTTATATGTATATTATATTATTATTTTTTATTTGTATTATATTTATTATTATGTTAAACTATTTGTGTTGACTGAAATCATTCAGTGATAAAATAAAATATATTTAACTTAATTGATCATAACTACTTGGCTACCTTCTCTGCCTACGTTTTCAATGCCGTTTGTTCCGTCACCGCCTACAGCTAAGGTGGCAGTAGCTACAGCTACTGCTACGGCAGCATTATTTGTTATTATGTCATCTGATAGATGATGATAATGATGATACAGCGGTTGTTGCTGCATAAATGAATGACGATTAACATTGTTGTTATTATTATTGTTGTTGTTGCTAGAAATGCCTGTTCGCATAATATCTGTTGTGGTAATACCGGGAGACCCGGTTGCACCACCGCCTCCTCCAGAACTTCCTGTAACTCCTGTGTTAAAACTGTTTGTAAAAACCTCGCCAAAGGTAAGCTTCGTTAGTTCCGAGGAAAACATATAGAAAATAATCAACATTGTTGTATAAACAAATATGTGAAAAATTATGCAGGACCATATAAGATTTATCTGCAAGGAGTGAGTATTTCCATTAAGTTAAGTTTGTTACAGATTAAATTAAATTTTTACAAACCTTTGATTTGCGTTTATATTTATTAATGCTAACGAATGGCACTAGTGCAATAGTTAAGAAAATTCCACAGAATATACCCGCAAATAAACTAGCAAAATTAAGTTGCCAAGGTAACGTACCAATCGCAAACAGTACCGCTCCGATCACTATTAATTTAAACAAAGCTATATGAGGCTTATGGAGCTGCTGCCAATGCGCATGTATTAAAAGAACCACTAATGATGCTATCACACCAGATAATGAAGCCAATGGACCCACCTGTAATTAAAAAAATGTAATATTATGAAATCTGGGATTTTTTTGTATCAAAAAATTTACTAAAATCATTTTTAGCTAAAAACAAGTAGGAAAGTATAGTCGGGCATAGCCGACTATATGATACCCTACACCACTGAGTATGTTAAAAATGTGGATTATTTTTAATAATAAAGCATTTAAGTTGTTTACCTTAATTCCGAAATATTTTAACAATTGGTTGAAAAAAGCATTTTCTAAAAGAGGGGCTATATGGGGGCAAGGGTAAATATGGGCCTATCCTTATAAATTCTGGTACATGGCTTTACGTTTACATTAGAGTTATGTATGCTGGATTTCATCGTGATACTAGTGTTTATTAGTGAATTATTGACCTTCAAGTCGTTTTCTGAAGGGGGCTTTGTATGGGGGCAAGGGTCAAATAAAATCCGATAATTACGAAAATCGGTAGTATTATTAAGACGTATATAGAACTAAGTTTGCCGATTTTTGTAGAGATACTACAATATTTAACATATTTATGAACTCAAACCCCTTTTCGGGGGGTAATGGGAACTATGTGCATTAATGGACCGATTTCAACCATTTTCAATACGCTTAATCGACTCAGAAAGTGATTCTGAGTCGATTGGTATGCTTTAAGGTGGGTGTAAGACGAATATTTTTGTACGTTACAAACATCAGCACAAACGTATAATACCCTCCCAACTATGATGGTGTAGGGTATAGCCAGTTAGAAATTATAGTCGGACGTTAACGACAATACCCCAGTTAATAGAATAATGTTAATGTGATTTATTTGATACTAGCTGCGCGTACCCGGCGTTGCCCGGGTTTCTTCTTATATTTTTCCCATGTGCAGTTGATTTAAAGAACTGTTCAGTTTAAATTCGGTCACACTGTACTTTGAATTGTAGTGCCCCTCGTGTATAGAGACAAAAGGCTTCGGGGCATTTTATTAACTACAAAAATACGTACCATTAACCGTACAAAATTTCAAGCGATTTTCTTCCTATTTGAAAAAGTACAGGCAATTGAAGAAACTCTGAAACGATAGCAGTTATTCAAAAACTGAACATAAAAATGTGCGTATCATCCAATCAATATCATATAGAGTTTTTTATACCCTCCACCACCATCAGTGGTGACAGATGGTATATATAACTTTGTCATTCCGTGTGTAACACCAAGAAATATTCATCAGAGACCCAACAAAGTATATTTATTCTTGATCCTTATGAAATTCTGAGTCGATTTAGCTATGTCCGTCTGTCCGACCGTCTGCCTGTCTGTCTAAAACACGCTCACGTTAAAACGAAGCAATAAAAATTCACGAAATTCACCCAAAACATTCCTTATTATCCGGTCCAGTTTGGTATTCAAAGTCAGTAAAACCGGTTCACGACGTAAAAAGTTATGATTAAAAATTTCAGACTATCTCGAAAAAAATAAAGTTTTTTCACCAATTCTTAAGTAGTTTTCTCAGAAACTACCAAAGATATTTCTATGAATTTTGTCACACATTATTTTTTGTACCAGGGATCAAGTATGTTCAAACTCATAACAATTGATCCAATATTTCCCATAGCCCCCATACAAAGGTGTATATTCCCGGATATAAGTTTATCGTCAATAACTCCTCAAATATATCGGTATCAACACAAAATTTTGTACATACAAATATAATATGAATAGACATCATACTACCAACGTAGATCTCAGTCGGTCCACAATTGGTCATAGCTCCCATGTAAGGTCCACTTCCAAAAATCACATAAACACACATATTTCTTTGACAAACAAAGCTTTTGTGATAAAATTCGAGCTGAATATGTTTTGTGTACATACAAATCATTATACTAAATTTCTTTTCGGATCGGCCCATTATTAGACATAGCTCCCATATAAGGCCCACTTCCGGAAATCACTTAAACGCACATATTTAATTGTCAAATAAAGGTATCTTGATAAAATTCGACACAAATATGTTTCGTCTATATATGAATGACTTTACGAAATTTTTTTCGGATACGACCATTATTGGTCATAGCTCCCATATAGGGTCCACTTCCGAAAATCATTTAAAAAAAATTCAACTTGAATATGTTTCCCCGGATCGGTCCATTATTAGTCATAGCTCCCATATAAGGCTCTCTTTCGAAAATCATTTAAACTCACATATTTCATTGTTAAACAAGTTAAAGTGCTATATTCGGCTGTGCCGAATCTTAACTATCCTCCACCAGCAAGCTATTTTTAATAAAAACGCATTTAACTATGTAATTTTTAGATAACTTGGAAAAATTGTTGTTCCCATATTGATATGCATATATCAATCTAATTTTAATTAAGTCCAGAAAAATTTATATTAATAGGCCAGTTCGAAAACATTTTAATATAATGATATATCTATACACAGAACATATTCATGTCGAATTTTATCCGGATATAATCATTTAATAACGAATTTAGTGGTATTAAGTGATTTTCAGAAGTAAAGAAGTAAAAAATTCCGTAGAATGATTTATATGCTCACAAAACATATTCAAGTCGTACTTTATCCCGATAGCTTTATTATTCAAAGAAATATATGCGTTTAAGTGATTTTCGTAAGTGGATCTTATATGGGAGCCTATCCGGAAAAATTTCGTTGAGTGATTCATATAAAGACAAAACATATTTGTGTCGAATTTTATCATGATAACTTTATTTGACATTGAAATATGTGCATTTAAGTGATTTTCGGAAGTGTGATTTATATGGGAGCTATGAACAATAATTTACTGATCCGGGAAAAAAGTGGTAGAATGATTTATATGTACACAAAACATATTCAAGTCGAATTTTATCCTTATAGCTTTAGAATTTTATGATATATATGCGTTTAAGTGATTTTCGGAAGTGGACCTTATAAGGGAGCTATGACCAATTATGGGCCCATCCGGAAAAAAATTTTCATAGAGTGACTCATATTTAGACAAAACATATTTGTGTCGAATTTTATCTAGATAGTTTATTTGACAGTAAAATATATGCCTTTAAGTGATTTTCGGAAGTGAACCTTATATGGGAGCTATAACCAATAATGGACCGATCCGAAAAAAATTTGGTAGAATGATTTGTATGTACACAAAACATAGTAGTGTCGAATTTTATCTCTATAGCCTTTGAATTGAATGAAATATATGCGTTTAAGTGATTTTCGGAAGTGGCCCATATATGGGAGCTATGACCACTTATTAGGATAATAATAAATATTTTGGGTGAATTTGGTTGATTTTCTTTGCTTAGTTTTAACGTGAGCGTGTTTTAGGCAGACAGACGGACATAGCTAAATCGACTCAGAATTTCATAAGGTGTTACACACGGAACGACAAACTTATATATACCCTCTATCACCACTGATGGTGGTGGAGGGTATAATAAGTAAATTAAATAAGAAAATTAATATGTAAATTTTTTAGTTGGAAATGCAAATTGGCACTTGCTCATTTTCATACCGGTCCATAATTGGTCCTATCTCCCATACAAGGTCACTTCCAGAAAATCACTTAAACGCAAATAACTCATAAGGTATCCATATACATAAAATTTGGTACAAGTATAGCTCTTATATACAGAAATGTTACTGTGAATTTTTTCCGATAGGTGGTGTGTTTTTAAGTGAATTATGGACGTTAAAACCAATTTCTGAAGTATATTTCGTATGGGGGTAAGGGTTAGACATATGTGTATGGAAGTCAAGTTATTTGTTTATAAGGACACACAGATGGACAGACTCAGAAAGTGATTCTAAGTCGATACTTTAAGGTGGGTATATGATTAATATTTTTGGACGTTTAAAGTCATCGGCACAAACGCCCCACTATAGTAGTGTAGATTTTAAAAAATAACTAGAACTATTTAAAATTTAATTTCATAGTTGTACAGATTGAGTCTAGTTATTTTTTTCTTAAATATCGAATTTATTGTAAAAATATATAATACGAAGAAATCAAAACATAATTTTTGCTAGAAAATAAAAAAAATGCAAAATATGCAATAAAAATTTGAGATATATGCAAAATATATGCAATTTAAAGCAAAACATGCAATTTATGCGTTTATAATAATATATGCAAAAATATGCAACAACAAATCGATGCCATTTTGTAAAAAATTCTTTGATTCAAAAATAAAAATTGTTAAAAGTTATTTTGAGTTACTGATTACAAACATGCATTTGCATAGAAATCCTTGCCCTGCTTATAACTAAATTAAGATATAGATACAAATATTGACTGAAATATAACTTTTATGTACGGAAATGTTACTTAAGGAATTTTTTACGATCGGTCTACATTTGGTCATATCTCCCATACTAGGTCCTGCCCCGAAAATCACTTTAATCGTATTTAACAAGTTGCATTATCCATTTGTGTAGAAAAAATATTATAATATGTAATATAACAGGCTATACCCAGTGTGCTATGCTACCCTAAAAACCGTATAAATAACAAGTTAGAGTGCTATATTCGGCTGTGCCGAATCTTAAATACCCTCCACCAGCAAGCTATTTTTAAATAAAACCCATTTAACTATCTAATTTTTAGATAACTTTGCAAAATTGTTGTTCCCGTATTGATATGCATATATCATATATATGCATATATTTTAGTTAAGTCCAGAAAAATTTATATTAATAGGCCAGATCGAAAACATTTTAATCCTATATATATATATATATATATATATATATATATATATATATATATATATATATATATATATATATATATAAAACAGACTGTTTGTTTGTTTGTGTGTTTGTTACGCTTTCACGGCAAAACTACTGAACCGATTTACATGAAATTTGGACCGCTAATAGGTCTAACCCCAAAAGGAACAATAGGCTATATAAGATCTAAATCGGATGTCACGCCCCTTTTTACGCCCACTTTTTGTGAAACTATTATTACAACAATTTTGCAATCACAATATGCAAAAACTACTAAACCGATTAACATGAAATTTTTCATACCGATAGGTATAAGCTTGGAAAGAACTATAGGCTACATATAAGAACTTGATCC